GGAAATAATACATACTGATGTATGAGATCCGATGAGTGTTAAGGCTCGCGGCGGGTATCATTATCTTCTGACCTTCACAGATGATTTGAGCAGATATGGGTATATCTACTTAATGAAATACAAGTCTGAAATATTTGAAAAGTTCAAAGAATTTTAGAGTGAAGTGGAGAATCATCATAACAAGAAAATAAAAGTTTCTACGATATGATCGCAGAGGTAAAATATTTGAGTTACGAGTTTGGCCTTCAGTTAAAACAATGTGAAATAGTTTTACTACTCACGCCACCTGGAACACCACAGCATAATGGTGTGTCCGAACATTATAACCGTACTTTATTAGATATGGCGCGATCTATGATGTCTCTTATCGATCTACCATTATCGTTTTGGGGTTATGCATTAAAGACAGTTGCATTCACGTTTAAAAGGGCACCATCTAAGTCCGTTGAGACGACACAATCTGAACTGTGGTTTGGCAAGAAACCAAAGTTGTCGTTTCTTAAAGTTTGGGATTGTGATGCTTATATGAAAAGGTTTCATCCTGATAAGCTCAAACCCAAATCAGAGAAATATGTCTTCATAGGATACCCAAAGGAGACTATTGGGTACACCTTCTATCACAAATCCGAAGGCAAGACTTTTGTTGCTAAATTCGGAGTTTTTCTAAAGAAGGGGTTTCTCTCGAAAGAAGTGAGTGGGAGGAAAGTAGAACTTGATGAGGTAACTGTACCTGCTCCCTTGTTGGAAAGTAGTTCATCACAGAAATCTGTTCCTGTGACTACTACACCAATTAGTGAGGAAGCTAATGATGATGATCATGTAACTTCAGATCAAGTTACTACCGAATCTCGTAGGTAAATCAGAGTGAGATCCGCACCAGAGTGATACAGTAGTCCTGTTCTGGAAGTCATGTTACTAGACCATGACGAACTTGCGAACTATGAGGAAGCGATGATGAGCCCAGATTCCGCAAAATGGTTTGAGGCCATAAAATCTGAGATATGATCCATGTATGAGAACAAAGTATGGACTTTGATGGATTTGCCCGATGATCGACAAGCCATAGAAAATAAATGGATCTTCAAGAGGAAGATGGACGTTGATAGTAGTGTTACTATCTACAAAGCTAGAATTGTCGCAAAAGGTTTTCGACAAGTTCAAGGTGTTGACTACGATGAGATTTTCTCACTCGTATATATGCTTAAGTCTGTCCGAATCATGCTAGCAATTGCCGCATTTTATGAAATCTAGCAAATGGATAAACAAAACTGCATTCCTTAGACTTCTTAAAAAAGAGTTGTATATGATGCAACCAGAAGGTTTTGTCAATCCTAAAGGTGTTAACAAAATATGCAAGCTCCAACGATCCATCTATGGACTGGTGCAAGCATCTCGGAGTTGGAATATACGCTTTGATAAGTTGATCAAAGCATATAGTTTTATACAGACTTACGGTGAAGCCTGTATTTACAAGAAAGTGAGTGGGAGCACTACAACATTTCTGATAAGTATATGTGAACAACATATTGTTGATCGGAAATAATGTATAATTTTCTGGAAAGCATAAAGGAATATTTGAAAGGAGTTTTTCAAAAAAAGACCTCGGTAAAGCTGCTTACATATTGAGCATCAAGATCTATAGAGATAGATCAAGACGCTTGATAAGTTTTTTCAATGAGTACATACCTTGACAAGATTTTGAAGTAGTTCAAAATGGAACAGTCAAAGAAAGAGTTCTTGCCTGTGTTGCAAGGTGTGAAATTGAGTAAGACTCAAAGCCCGACCACGGCAGAAGATAGAAATAAAATGAAAGTCATTCCCTATGCCTCAGCCATAGGTTCTATAAAGTATGCCATGCTGTGTCCCAGATCTATTATATACCCTACACTGTGTTAAGCAAGGGAGTACAATAGTGATCTAAGAGTAGATCACTGGACAGCGGTCAAAATTATCCTTAGTAGAATAAGGAAATATTTCTCAATTATGGAGGTGACAAAAAGGTTCGTCGTAAAAAGTTACGTCAATGCAAGTTTTGACACAGATCTGGATGACTCTAAGTCTCGATCTAGATACATATTGAAAGTGGGAGCAATAAGCTAGAGTAGCTCCGTGCAGAGCATTGTCGACATAGAAATTCGCAAAATACTTACGGATCTGAATGTGACAGACCCGTTGACTAAAATTATCTCACAAGCAAAACATGATCACACCTTAGTACTCTTTGGGTGTTAATCACATAGCGATGTGAACTATATTACTGACTCTAGTAAACCCTTTGGGTGTTGATCACATATCGATGTGAACTATGGGTGTTAATCACATGGTGATGTGAACTATTGCTGTTAAATCACATGGCGATGTGAACTAGATTACTGACTCTAGTGCAAGTGGGAGACTGAAGGAAATATGCCCAAGAGGCAATAATAAAGTTATTATTTATTTCCTTATATCATGATAAATGTTTATTATTCATGCTAGAATTGTATTAACCGGAAACATAATACTTGTGTGAATACATAGACAAACAAAGTGTCACTAGTATGCCTCTACTTGACTAGCTCGTTAATCGAAGATGGTTATGTTTCCTAACCATAAACAAAAGAGTTGTTATTTGATTAAGGGGATCACATCATTAGGAGAATGATGTGATTGACATGACCCATTCCATTAGCTTAGCACCCGATCGTTTAGTATGTTGCTATTGCTTTCCTCATGACTTGTACATGTTCCTATGACTATGAGATTATGCAACTCCCGTTTGCCGGAGGAACACTTTGTGTGCTACCAAACGTCACAACGTAACTGAGTGATTATAAAGATGCTCTACAGGTGTCTCCAAAGGTACATGTTGGGTTGGCGTATTTCGAGATTAGGATTTGTCACTCCGATTGTCGGAGAGGTATCTCTGGGCCCTCTCGGTAATGCACATCACATAAGCCTTGCAAGCATTGCAACTAATGAGTTAGTTGTGAGATGATGTATTACGGAACGAGTAAAGAGACTTGCCGGTAACGAGATTGAACTAGGTATTAAGATACCGACGATCGAATCTCGGGCAAGTAACATACGGATGACAAAGGGAACAACGTATGTTGTTATGCGGTCTGACCGATAAAGATCTTCGTAGAATATGTGGGAGCCAATATGAGCATCCAGGTTCCGCTATTGGTTATTGACTGGAGACGTGTCTCGGTCATGTCTACATTGTTCTCGAACCCGTAGGGTCCGCATGCTTAAGGTTTCAATGACAGTTATATTATGAGTTTATGAGTTTTGATGTACCGAAGGAGTTCGGAGTCCCGGATGAGATCGGGGACATGAGAAGGAGTCTCGAAATGGTCGAGACGTAAAGATCGATATATTGGACGACTATATTCGGACATCGGAAAGGTTCCGAGTGATTCGGGTATTTCTTGGAGTATCGGAGAGTTACGGGAATACGTATTGGGCCTTATTGGGCCATACGAGAAAGAAGAAAAAGGGCCTCAAGGGTGGCCGCACCCCTTCCCTTGGTCTGGTCCGAATTGGACTAGGGAAGAGGGGCGCCCCCTTCCTTCCTTCTCCTTTTTCCTTCCTCTTTTCCTATTCCATATGGGAGGTGGAATCCTACTAGACTAGGGAGTCCTAGTAGGACTCCACACTTGGCGCGCCCCCTCATAGGGTCGGCCTCCTCCTCCCTTGCTCCTTTATATACGGGGGCAAGGGGGCACCTCTAGACACAAGTTGATCCACGTGATCATATTCTTAGCCGTGTGCGGTGCCCCCTTCCACCATAATCCTCGATAATATTATAGCGGTGCTTAGGCGAAACCCTGCGACGGTAGAACATCAAGATCGTCACCACGCCGTCGTGCTGACGGAACTCTTTCCCGACACTCTGTTGGATCGGAGTCCGAGGATCGTCATCGAGCTGAACGTGTGCTAAAACTCGGAGGTGCCGTAGTTTCGGTGCTTGATCGGTCATGCCGTGAAGACGTACGACTACATCAACCGCGTTGTGCTAACGCTTCCGCTGTCGGTCTACAAGGGTACGTAGATCACACTCTCCCCTCTCGTTGCTATGCATCACCATGATCTTGCGTGTGCGTAGGAATTTTTTTGAAATTACTACGTTCCCCAACAGAAAAGAATGACGAATCACCTTCTTACCCGAGCTTGACGCGGCTCCGTCGCTGATATGCAGCTTTGCGGACCTCCAAGGTAAGGTCAAGTCACTTTGTTTGACATTATTGAATATCAATACGAGGCAAAGCCTGCGAATCAACCTGTGGTTGAGATGGTTAGGTGGACAGTGGTATCCCCAACCCACCAGGGTTCAAATCCTGGTGCTCGCATTATTCCTGGATTTATTTCAGGATTTCCGGCGATGCGCTTTCAGTGGGAGGAGACGTTTCCGTCGACGACGAGGTGCCTACGGTGACTTTGTAAATCTCAAGATGATGTGCTGGCGCTTGTGTCTGTACCGATGCTAAAAAAAATACGAGGCAAAATCTCCAGAAAAAAAAACTGATTGGAAGATCAAGGGGGGAAAATCAACAATCCTCACAATAGACAATAAGGTGTACAGTTTGTTTGACATCATGTGGCAGACTTTTCCGGGGTGATTTAGGCCGAGGTTGTTGTTGATACGGTCGACGACTCCGAGTCAGACTGCAGCAACCCACTGACCTGACCAGACCCAAATCCATCTTGGCTGCTGGACGTGGAATCGCGGTAGATTCCCAGCAAAGTAACAAGTTCTGTCCGACACCACGCGCTTTGCAGGTGGCCGAAATCCTAAAGCCCGACCAGTCGACCACCAGCCAGCTCCTCCGTCCTCTCCCCCCACGCCCGGCGTCCCGCCGCCGCCGCCCCCGCCCCCGCCGTCGCCGTCGCCGTCCGAGGCACCGGTCCCCCCCTCGAGCGAGCAGTCGGCCAGTTGGTGGATCCGTCCACCGCCGGCAACCGAATCGGGAAGAGGAGGAGGGGGGCAGATCGAAGCTCGGGGAGAGTCGCCGGCCATGGTGAAGGAGACGGGCTACTACGACGTGCTCGGCGTGATCCCCACAGCCAGCGAGTCGGAGATCAAGAAGGCGTATTACATCAAGGTAGCCCTCCCGCTCCTTCTTGCTTTGCTGCGTTTTTTTTCTTCTAGTATCTGATTCCTTCTGCTGCTGCTGCTGGTGGTGTTGCAGGCGAGGCAGGTACACCCAGACAAGAACCCTAATGACCCGCAGGCCGCAGGGAAGTTCCAGGTAAACTGTTTTGCCTTTGCTCCTCTACCAATCCGCCCACCTTTCGCCCAGCTCACATCTGAGCTACTGTGCCAAGCAACTCGGCACTCATCCCATAGTGTAGAATCCTCGATTCAACCCGATTATAGGCTTACATGTTGGTGCCAAAACGCAAAAAACTCTGGATAATGTCAACTGCCTCCAGACGAGTCTTGAAGGAGGATGTCCTTGTTTGACTATTCTGTTGGTGCCAATGGTGTTTTGCCTTCTTTGCTGATCAACGACTCTTTTAAGTGCTTGTCTCGAGGACACATTCATCGAGTTAAGGAGACAATTAAAATAAACAATTGCAACAAACAATGTTAAATAGCACTTCTGATTTACTTCTTGGCATAAATATTTAACGAATCAGTAATTTTTGTGTCATAGCTGCTCTATACTACCCTATGAGCAAATAGTGAACCTTATGTACCATCTTGTAACATGTTGCTTTGAGAGTTGAGACCTGTTTTTTCTTCTTTTTAAAAGAACATTGCCGACCACTGGCCAGTCGAGTGTGAATTGCCATCCGTCAAACTATATTTGTTTGTTGCTACTCTAAAAGTAGCAGATTTCACAAATATACGTGTGATTTCACATTATGCAATTTGAGAAATCAGAAGCCGCGCCAGCTCACCTAAAAATGCTTTCGCACCTTCAACCCTGCATATTGTCTTGGGTCGATGCGAAAGAAGCTTCTGCCAAGCTTCAACTGGCCCAACCATGTGAAATTGTGAACTGCTTAACAACAAAACATGGTAATGTAGCTCAGGATATTGCTCACTCTTCAGTAATGAACCTTTATGGCTTTCATCAGTTAGTTATATGTTCTCATGCATGAAAGAGTTTTTTTGGTTAGAAACATGCATGAAAGAGTTGGGTGCTAGTTATTGTACGTGCGGCTCGTCTCCTTGGGCGGCTGCTGGAGTAGGTTCCTCACTTTTAAGGAAATCATACACTGTGAGCAACTGAAGCTGCACTCATCAATACGAACTTTGCACCTACCCATATATTTATTCTAGTTCAGATTCTGATGCAGTCATGGAGGTTTGATGCTTTTACTAGTATTGCTATATTCTTCAGGAAAATCTAGCTAGGGCGTTTGAACCTAAATAGGCAGATTAACCATTTCAAGAAGCAAACTGGTCTGAGCCTGCAAACAGGAAAAAAAATGTAACCTTATGTTCATAAATAACTGTGAGACTGATGTTATGCTAATCAGATGCCACATGATTTTTTTAATGTATTTTAAAGAACTGTTCTCAGTACGTACTACTTAGCTGTAAGTACATTGTTATAGAAAAACTTGTTATTTAATTAATTAATCTGTTGAACATTGTTCCTCCATAGCTGCTGTAGTTCGTATTATGTATTTCTCATGGTGATTTTAAAATGAGAATTGATTCTATTGACTTCATGAGAAAGAATTTTATGATGTGTGCCTAATTTTTCTTTAGTATAAGACTGCTGTTTACACAGAGAAATTATGATTGCAGGAACTAGGGGAGGCATACCAAGTGCTTAGTGACCCCGCTCAGCGCCAAGCTTATGATGCACATGGGAAATCTGGCATCTCAACGTATGTTTGATTTCCATTGACAAATTATCTAGAGGTTTTGAAACCTACTCGAAACTTTAGGGCTGTGGACTTGACACTTATGGCAAAGCAGCATGAGTACTGTTAGTCGGGGCTTTTGTAAAGGACTAAGAGGCAACTAATTTTCTTCAATCCAAAAGATGCAATTTTTGAAAAAAAAAGTTTCACATCATATTGTAAATAATCTTATGATAATCATATTCTAATTAACTTGCTTGTCAACATTCTACAGGGATGGAATAATTGATCCAGCAGCAATTTTCGCGATGCTATTCGGTAGTGAGCTTTTTGAGGATTATATTGGTCAATTGGCAATGGCGTCAATGGCTTCACTTGATAATTTTGACGAAGATGAACAGATCGACACAAAAAAGTTGCAAGACAAAATGCAGGTTTAGTATAGATAAATTCTATGATCATTTACTAATATGCAACGACTCCATGACCATTAGTTTGGTTGTTGATCAGATTTCCATCCATTTTCATTGCATTTTATACTCTTTCGACCACTAATCTGCTGAATGGTAAACTACAACTGCAGGCTGTTCAAAAAGAAAGAGAGGAGAAACTTGCAGAGATACTTAAAAACCGTCTGCACCTTTATGTTCAAGGAAATAAAGAGGAATTCATTCGGCTTGCTGAGGCCGAGGTGTCCAGACTTAGTGATGCAGGTTTGCACCCTTCCTCCTTGAACTCTGGATCCTTTTCCCTTGGTTGTCCTGCCTATTGCTGTAAGAATTTAGCCGACAGTTGATGCGTTTGAAGGAGCTGCAATTTCGATGGTTCAGTGTGTGATTATCTTATTTGATGTGTTCATGAGCATAGTATAGGTGATGACATTCTTAGAATTGTCTGGAAAAAGCAGTTACTGTTTTTTCGACGGGGTAAGTTGGCAGGGGTAACAGCTGCTTCGCATTTGGCTTAACTAAAGACAATCAATTTTATAGTCCCTCTTATCTGCTAACTAAAAATAATATTTAATGAATTACATCGTTGTTGACGTCTTGTCTGAAGCAAAGGATGCACGGAAGATCTAACCTGGTCTGTAGGAGTACTCCATAGTCCTAATTTGCTCTTCTCTTCCTGAAGTACATGACAATGATATAGGTAGACTAGAATGCGTTTACTGAACCTTTTCTTAACTGTCTAATGCTTTTGCTTTAATACATTTTTCTGTTTGTATTCTCCTGTATGCTCTGTTGGATGGCCCCTTGATATCTGTAATCTGAAGTTCCTCCCTCTTTTTGTCCTGTTGCCGTTGTCCTGCAGCATATGGACTTGTTATGCTGAACACTATTGGCTATGTATATTCAAGACAAGCTGCAAAAGAACTTGGAAAGAAGGCAATATATTTGGGGGTTCCGTTTGTAGCAGAATGGTTCAGAGACAAAGGCCATTTTATCAAATCCCAAGTAACAGCTGCAGCAGGTAAAAGTGTCTCATCAATATTTTGTGAGCTTGTTTTGATATGGTTTATCTCGATTGCATATATGATACAGTGCTTCTTTGGGCTGTGAGTGTTCATGCTTGTATCATGTTGGTGATAAAACTCGGTTATCTTGCGGTATTGCAGGTGCAATAGCTCTTATGCAGCTGCAAGAAGACTTGAAGAAGCAGATGGGTGCTGAGGGCCAGACCACAGAGGAAGAACTTGAAGTGTACATGCAGAACCACAAAAAAGTTATGGTTGATTCCTTGTGGAAGCTTAATGTTGCTGACATAGAAGCCACCATATCACATGTCTGCCAGATGGTCTGTCCCAGCTTACCTGCAACCTTTTCATGCATGTTATGTGCCTTGTATTCTTCAGCACTTAAAAGCTGATTAGCAGTGATTTGTAACATTGTGTCGATACCAGGTGCTTCAGGACCCCTTGGCCAGGAAGGATGACCTGCGTCTTCGTGCCAAAGGACTGAAAACTTTAGGGAAAATTTTCCAGGTATTGCTCGTTCATTTGTTTAATTCACGTGTTGGTAATGTCGTAACATTTCAGTTAATGAGCTTTATTTCTTCTCCATAATAGGGTGTTAAGCTCAACAGTGGTGAGGGGGAAGGGTCGCACATGAAGAATATAGATAACATGGATGACAATGCCGGTAGCTCCCCTGATTCGTCACCAAAACGGGAGCCATCATTCAATCCCATTCCTAACCCTCCTCTTACCCAGGTAGTTGCCCCTAAATTTTCATCTCCTGTGAAATTCCTGAAAACAGCTGTTCCTTTCTCCCATTGTAAATACATTATCATTTTGACTCAGTGGAGTTGTGTTAGACTTGGGCCAGAGTTGTTTCTTGTTTTGACTTTTCAAACTAACCTGGGCGACAGTTCAAACTCTTACCTGACCTCTTTTTCCTTCCTTCCACACAAGACACTGAGAATTCATTTTCTTCTGTTGTGCTAGAGTCCATATGTGGAGGCTCCCCAGTTTGGCGGAACCTATTGTTCGTTCAACTTCCCAATGCCGACGGCTCCACCAGGTGCGCAGAGGGATCCGGTGCCTTGATGGCTGACACCAGATTTCGTGTACCATTAATTATTTCATGTAATGTCGCTTGTGCATGGTGCATCATTTGTACCTGTGGTAGTAGAGGAGACGGATGAGTCCGAATCAGTCAGATATAACCTCACTATTTCTCCGGTTGTGTAGCAGCGGCGCATTGTCTGTCTATTGTGTACAGTTGTGTTAAGGCTGCTGTTACAGAAGCAGCAGCAGGTCACAATTGTTGTACATGATTTGGTGTTGTTATTCCTGAGCTGAGGTCTCTTGCTGACATTGAGGTTTACATGTCTCTGCTTTCTGTTGTGACTGCTCTTTTTTGCTGATGAAGCGCGTTGGAGTTGATGTCCTGCTTAGAATGCAAAAACTGTACATTTTTAGGGTCCCTGTTTGATTTGATGAATACCAGAAGGAGCTAGAAAATTTTACAGGATTGCATGGGCATGCAATGTGCAATGGGAAAAAGATTAAAAATTCTGAAATGATAAGTGCCCCATGTGTGGCACAAAGCAACATGGCTCAAACGCCTCCATTCTTATCCATTTTGCCACGTCAAACAGATGACATCAACGAAATCTTTTTGATTTTTTAAACTTAAAAATGTTTTATCTCCTAAATAAAAAATCTGATTAAAAATCCGTTTTCATCATTAAATCCATATCGGCGAGATCTTCAAAACTAGATCACATGTTGTTATGTTTTAACGACTTATTCTGAGGGCCAAAAGTTGCCATGATATGTACTATCTTTTTTCTAGTTAAAGCAACCATTGCATTTCAATTACTTTTCTAATTGACCATGGCAATTTATGGTAATTACCACAACAAATTTACTTCATGGATCATGGCAATTTTTAGTAATTCATCATGGCAAATTTAGTTTATAGATCATGGCAATTTTAGTTTACAGGTCATGGCAATTTTTGTATTTTCACCATGGTAATTATTTTTTTTGTATGAACCATGGCAAGTTTAGTGCATGTATCGTGACAAATTTAAATAATTCACCATGGCAATTTTAGTTTATGGTTCATGCCAACTTTGAGTCATTGACCATGTATTTTTAAGTAATTGGCGACGGATTTCTTTTTAATTACGAACCATGTCAAAAGTATTTCATAGATCATGACAAATTTTAGTAATTCACCATGATAAGTTTAGTTTCCTAATCCTTTTTTATAACATGTCAAAATTTATTTTAAACATAGAAGAGAAAAGTAGTTGAAACATATCATGGCAACTTCGATACAATAGACATGGCAACTTTTAACCCAACAAAATAAGTCGTCAAAACATATGAATATGGGATCTAGTTTCGTAGATCTCATCGCGGCGAATTTAATGGTGAAAACGGTTTTTAATCAGATTTTTAATTTAAGAGATAAAACACTTTAAAAACTGAAAATCCAAAAGATTCCCGCTGGCATCATCAGTTTCGTAATTTTTGCATGTGTGCGGTGACGTGGCGCCATATATGGTGATGGGGGTGTTTGGTTCAAGTTGCTTTGTGCCACACGTGTGGTACTTATCGGGGTCCAAAAATTAGAAACCATAGAAAAAGAAGGAAGGAGAAAAAAGTGATGTTGTGTTGATCACATCATATGGAGAACGACTCATGAATATGGATATGGATGAATATTGGCACGATATATGTGCTCTCATCAATAGATAAGACTCAAATATTGCTTTTCCATAGTTAAGTGCAAAGTGGCATATGAAATTTTTGGCACCGCAAGCCATGGGGAATATGTGGTTTTTTCATGATTGATGCTACCATTCCCCCAAGCAACCGCAAAAAAAAAAGCAATGGCAACTAAGGGGTTTTCAAGAACTTTGAATGTTTTCAGTGAACTGATGCAATACATATATACCATGTTACTCCATCTGACCCATATTACTTGTTGGTTTAGTACAAAGTTAGTACAACTATGGCATTGACATGAGCCTTTTCTCAACTAGACTATCGGAGCTTGATCATGATAAAATGAAGGAACTCGGACCCGATCTAGACAACTTGAGGAGAAAGTTAGAGCTATTAAGAATTCATGGATAAGATCCAAGCAGATCTAGCCGAACATATGCAACAACATGGTGAAGAGTTTCAAGCTCAAAAAAATTACAACAACATTTTGAGAAGCAATTAGGTTTTTCTATTTTTGAAATGTAGAGAGGTTAGTGGCTTCAGCCTCACACAAAGAGGATAGATGCAACACCTTTTGACGCCAAAATATAACTTTGTACTAAACCAACAACAAGTAATATGGATTGAAGGGAGTACAAATTTCCAATTCGATGGACAAATAAATTCGTCCATTAATACTTCTATGTTGGAGTTTTTTTTAATTTGTATGATAAGTTAAATATACATCGTGTCGACTCAATTATTGTATTAGAACTTGTTTCGCGGTGTTTGTGTGTGGGAACAACTCACAACAGTTGTCTTTTTGGAAACATGCCATAGTTCACAGCTTACAATAGCTTTATCAGAATCCACAATACAACCAAACACCTTGATTCTTAGGAAAAGTTGACGAAAATCATAGAATGAGAAAATTTTCTATGGTGACACTATTCATGCATGTAATTCAAAGGAATGGACTATATGAATGGAGTAATTTTTCTTTGGATCAAAGTTTCATAGGAAAAAAAAAGGTTGACAATCCACTCAACCTCAATTTTACATTGCTACGCACAAAGAACAAGACAAATGTCATAAGTAGCATAATATTAACTTCATCTTACCTTTACATATGTTTTTTACCTTAATTTAACCATGATTTTTAGGATTCTTGTGTTTTTCCTATTTATGCGAGCCAAACATCTAGTTCCGCAGAATCAATACACACTTCCGCAAATTTATGTGTTTTCACAATCCTCTACTTTGGACATGCAATCCTACCTAATTCCCATGTTTTGAAATTCTGGAATCAAAGAGGCCCTCAATGTTTCTAAGGGCCTCTTTGGATCATATGATTTTAGGAGATTCAAATCCTAAGATTTTTTTTCCGTAAGGAAGCCCTTTGACATGATCGGGGTTTTAAAATTCCTAATGAATCCATTCCTATATACACATTCCATGGAAATATGAATACGAGCTCCAACCTCATTTTCTTTTTTCCTTTTAGAAGTCCAATGCACTTTCACTCTATCTCCCTCCACCCTCTCTCCTCAATCCTCTAAAGTCCACATGTTTCTTTTTCCTGTGCACCATCCAAAGGCATATATTGCAGAATTCATGTGTTTCAAAATCATTTAGGATTCCATGCTACACGACATCTAAATCCTGCGTTTTTTCCTACCTACGCTTCAAATCCCTATACCTGAGTATATCAATCAGGCTCACACTATCTGCATAGGGTCAGTCCTTATGACTGACAAGGCTGTTGAGGATGCACCACAGGTCACTGCCCCTGCACTTCAGACAGAGGTGGATCTTCTTGGAACAGCAGGTGCTAAGATCTGGAAAACCCATTTTGCTCGATCTCATCACAGCAAGGATATTATTCAGGTTCCATCTGACTGGGTTAATTGTTTGGCAGTTAATTTCTTATCACCAGAAAAGTTTGATTGGGCCAAGAGTTTTGTTAACTCCAATGTATGGACTATCATTGTGCAAGGATCTACTTGTCCTACCTCTCTGCCTTTTGTTATCCCTGAAAAGTGCCCTGAGCCTGCCAATCTCACTAGCTCTACTTCACTTTCTGAACAGGCCACCTCTACAGAAGCTGACCCACCCGAAGTGACTTCTGCTTCCTCCACTTCAGGGCTGCAGAACAAGAAAAAGAGGAAGGACAAAATCCCACTGGTTGAGACTGAGGTAAGGAGAAGTTGTAGACTCATAAAGCTATCTAAGGGTTATAAACAATCAGTATGTTTGGACAAAGATTGTTTTGCTTGTTCTACTAGGCCACCCCTATCTCCGCTAAAGTGGTTAAAAGTCTGAATATCTCTTTCTGCAAGGTTACTGACAAAGACACCACTGAAGAAATCCTATCCAAGAGGCCCAAGAAGTCCAAAGGTGTATGCTCTCTGCAGGATGGCAGCAAGAACTCCAAGGAGCCTGGAAAGAAATGGATTTAGTCCATTCCTTCATATTATCAGTAGTAGTCTTTTGGGTGCGGAGTTGGCTATTAGAGATGGTATCCAGTGGGTTGTGTTAAGTGATTTATATCTTGTAAAAGACTTCTCATATCTACTTCTGCCATGTGTGTCTGTATGAACTTTGGAACAATTTTGTTCTTTTGGGGGCCTGTTGAAAAGGGGACTCACTTTTATCTGTACAAATTGCAAACACCTGCTATGTGTGACTGTTTGATCTGCTCCCCTCAATTTTCTGTGAAAGTTCTGCATTACCACCCATCATGAACAGAGAATGGAATATTCTGAATTGGAATATCAAAGGCATTAATGACCCCAAGAAATGGACTGCTATTAATAACAAGATTGAGGAGTCACAATGTGCTATTGTATGTCTTCAAGAAACTAAAAGAGAGATTTTTGACAGTTCATATCTCAAAAGTTTCTGTCCCAGGAGAATTGGAAATTTTGAATATCTTCCCTCAGTAGGAGCAGCAGGTGGAGTACTAGTTGCATGGAATGAACATATTTTTGGGGGTCAGGTTATTCACAGTAACAATTATGCTCTCTCTATCCAATTCACCTCTAAACATAATGGGGAACAATGGATTCTTACCAATGTTTATGGTCCCTGTGAAACTCAAGAGAGACAATTATTCATTGACTGGTTTAAAAATTTCCACATTGCAGATGATATTAGTTGGATTGTTTTGGGAGACTTTAACTATATCAGGTACCCTCATAACATGAATAGAGGGGAAGGTTGCATTGAGGACATGCTCAGTTTTAATGAGGCCATTAACCACCAAGCTTTGATTGAAATTCCCCTAAAAGGCATGAACTATACTTGGAGCAACATGCAAGATGCTCCTCTGCTGGAAAAGTTGGATTGGTGCTTTACCTCAGAATCATGGACATTACAATACCCTA